GGGGGCGATTTTTTTAAACCGTTTCCCTGCATTAAGGGAGCAAATCACCGATCCGAAAATGAGGCCCATGCTGCAGCGGGAGCACCTTTTTCAAACACCAAAAATAATCGCAGTGTAAACTATCAACAGAAACAATGTTTGAAGTCCTTCGTGTATGAAAGCTGCACGCGGAAGGGCGCGGGCAATTTTTTATCACCTGCGGGTGGGAGATGTGAAAAGTGTTCATAGTGTGTCATCGTGGAGGAAGAGATGAGCAGGAGGAGAAGGAAGAGGAGGAGGAGGAGGCGGAGGAGGAGGAGGAGGAGGAGGAGGAGGAGGAGGAGTGGAAGGGGGAGAGGGGGGTCAGGAGGAGAGAGACGGGGCTTAGGAGGAGGAGCAGGAGGAGGGGGAGGAGGAGGAGAAGGAGGAGGAGGAGGAGCAGGAGCTCCTGACGCGCCGGGCCCGCGCCGAGGTGGCCCACCGCGAGGTGGAGCGCATCGTCCACGACGCGTGCCACCTGCAGGAGCCCGGCCGCTCCGCCGCCCGCCCCACTCGCGGGGGCTCTGCGCGCTCCGCCACGTCGGGTGCTGCCAGAGGTGCCCCTGGCCCAACGTGCCCCCAGGATTTCCAGGGAGGCCCCTGCGGCCTCCAGAGAGCCCCTCACGGGGCCCAGGGGGAGGAGGGGAGGAGAGGAGGAAGGAGGAGGAAGGAGGAGGAGGAGGAGGAGGAGGAGGAGGAGGAGGAGGAGGAGGAGGAGGAGGAGGAGGAGGAGGAGGAGGGGGAAGAAGAGGAGGAGGAGGAGGAGGAGGAGGAAGAGGAGGAGGAGGAGGAGGAGGAGGAGGAGGAGGAGGAGGAGGAGGAGGAGTCCCAGGGGGCCCCAGGGGCTCCAAAATGGCGCGAGAAGCACATATTTTTGTTCGGCGGTTCGAGCGGAACTCTCGGATGGATCCGCGCAGATCTCTTGGATCCGCGCTGATGTCCTGGATCAGGGTGTCGCTTCTTGTCGGCCGTGTCAGGCGCGAAGGCGCAGGGACAGGGTGGAACGACCTCGCAGAACAAACAATGGCATGAACATCGTCTCTCGGCGGTTCGCGCGGAGCCCCTGTATCGGCGCGGGAGCCCACCTGGCGGCGCCTCCGGCGCCGCTCCTGGCGCGCTGCGCTGGCCGGGGAGGGGGGAGGAGGAGGAGGAGGAGGAGGAGGAGGAGGAGGAGGAGGAGAGGAGGAGGAGGAGGAGGAGGGGAGGAGGAGGAGGAGGAGGAGGAGGAGGACGGAGGAGGAGGACGGAGGAGGAGGAGGGTAGATGAGGAGGAGGAGGAGGAGGAGGCGGAGAAGGAGGAGGAGGAGGAGGAGGAGGAGGAGGAGGAGTGCTTGTGTTTATGCTGTTTGGTTGTGCCTCTTCTGCTGTTTGGTTGTGTTGTGTTTCTGCCCCTGGCCGAGAGCCGAGGGTCAAAGGAGCAAGAAGTCACGCGAATGATACGCTGCCAGGATGTTCGGGGTTTCCCAGCGTTCCGCACGGAATTCAGACAAGGAGGACCGCTAGATATTCCAGAATGTCTGAACAGTATCTTGAGCCAATCGCATCATGGCATCACTCTCGTGAGGGTGGGGTGGGGGGCAGAATGTGGCTTTTGCCTCTTGAGAAGGCAGGGGCGAGGAAATGGGGGGAGCCTCACGGCGGAATTGTCGCCTCCTCCCTACTTCCTGGCCAAGGAAGGGTGACTGGCATAAAGGGAAGAAGCGACGGCTGCAGCAGAATCGGCAGCCCCATCGGCTGCAGCGCTGGTGCTGTCGGCCAAGGTGGCCGAGATATGAGGAGGAGGAGGAGGAGGAGGATGATCAGGAGGAGGAGGGGGAGGAGGAGAAGGAAGGAGGTTGATGAGACGGGAGGACGAGGAGGAAGGGGCGGGAACAGCATGAGGAGCGAGGAGGAGGAGGAGGAGGAGGAGGAGGAGGAGGAGGAGGAGGAGGAGGAGGAGGAGGTGGCGGAGGCGGGAGGAGGAGGAGGAGAAGGAGGAGGCGGACCGTCTCTCCCCTTCTGTGTTGAATGACGGACTGGAGGCCAGAGGGGGGGGGTGGACGGTCAGGATTCCTGCCATCACATTGTGGTAACTGTATACAACAGAGCCACCCTTGACCTCTCAGAGCAACGCGGGCACGTCGAAGGGCAACGCGACATCAAGCACGAGCGACGCACGCACACGGTGGAGGATGCCGAGGAGCTTGTGGAACACGAGGATCAAAGATACATCAATTTCATGCTGTACAGAAAATTTCGGATCTCCGCTGCGGGTTTCCTGCATCTGCGCCGGACCCCCTTGGTGGCGCCTCCGGCGCCTGGGGCGGGGGGCCCGGCGCAGATCCATGACGTCCGCGCGGACCGTTCGAAGGTCACGTTTTCGGGCCGTTCTTATGTCTACAGCGGGAGGTCGGTGGCCTCGGACTGGGCTGCTGGCCCCCGAGCTACAGCAGCAGCAACAGCAGCAAGAACGGCTCCCCCGCCTGCTGCCTCCGGGCAGCTTATTCCACGTGCGCCCTCGCGTGGGACTTCCTCACAACTCCTGGGGATCGAAGGCCAGGGGAGGAGGAGGAGGCTGTCGCCCTGGAACACGGGTATCGATGCTCTTCTGAGCGCCCTGTCCTCCTTTCCTCTTCCTCCTCCTCCTCCTCCTCTTCCTCCTCCTCCTCCTCCTTCTCCTCCTCCTCCTCTCCTCACGCCCCCCACCTCGCCCCTCCACCAGTCTTAGCACACAGCGCTGTGTAGCACGGGCAGTCCATGGGCTCGAGCCGAAGTCTGAAGGAAAAAGAGAGAAGCACGGCCAGAGGGGGAGCGACCCGTCTCGCCGCGGGCCAGCATCCCTTCCGGGAGACCCCCGAGACCCCCCCCCCCCCGCCCTCTCCGATGGCCCAGCCCCCCTTCGCCCTGCCTGGCCCTTCTGCGCGCGGCCCAGCGGGAGTGGGGGTGGAGGAGGACGGGGAGGTGAGGCGGATAGGGGAGAGGGCGAGGACACGGAGGAGGAGAAGGACAAGGTGGGGGGAGGAGTTTTTTTCCAGCAGTGTCATTGCTCACGCGGTGAGGTCCGTTTCCACCGCGCCGCGTCGCCCGAGTTTCCCCTCTGCAGCACCTCGGGCGGACGTCCGCACTCCAGTGACCTCTCCGCTCGCAGGTACCGCTGCTTCTCACACTTCTCACACTTCACACAATCTGTGCTCCTCTTCTCCAGCTACGTACGCGCGGCGTATCCTGACGCTTTTGCTCGAAGCCGTCGCCCTCGTGGCCCTCAGGAGCAGCATGTTGTCGAACTCTGCTCTGAGGGGCCACGCGGGCTTCCCGTTCGACCCTGTGATGGTGAACGTGCCGTTTTTCTTACCATTTGGGTGGAGATATCTTTGATATCGCCTCTCCACCTTCTTCTGGTCAGTCCTCGGGATGGGCCCCCACTCTCCATGTATGTCCTCCGCTTCCAATTGGATACCAGCACTGTAGCTGATGGCATCGGGCTCCATCGCATCGCCGCCTTCTAGCCACGTCCTGGCGATTTGGGTGCGTGCTCTCCACATGGCCCTGCTGACGCTGTGGCTGCTCACGCACTCCGTTTTCTCGGATCCAGCCGTGGCGACAAGGTGGGGCGAGGAGGAGCTAGGGAAATTGGGCTCCAGCTTCGCCTCCGCCATTACTGCCTCACTGTAGCTGGTCACGTTGGGCTCGTTCTTCGCCTCCCACTTCTCGCGAGGGCTCTCTGCACTGTAGCTGGTCACGTTGGGCTCTCTCGTCGCCTTCGCCTCCAACTTCTCGCATCTCGTGGGGTCGGCATCAGCGCTGTAGCTGGTGATATTGGGCTCCAACTTCTTCTCGCACGCTCTGACACCCTCTCGCAGCTGCCACTGCACGTCCTTCTCGCACGAACTGGCCGCTCCTTTTTGAGGCTGCCACTGTCCGTTCTTCTCACACGAACTGGCCACACCCACTGTCGGCTGCCACTTCCCGTCCTTCTCGCATGCTCTTCTCTCGCTCGCTGCGCTGTAGCTGATCACGTTTGGCTCCAACTTCGCCTCCCGCTTCTCGCACCCCGCTTTCTCGGATCCAGCCGTGGCAACGAGGGGAGTCGAGGGGGAAACGTTAGCGATAGTGGGCTCCAGATTTGTCTCCGCCACTGTTGCCCTGATCGCGGCGCTGTAGCTGATCTTGTCGGGCTCCATCTTCGCCTCTGACTTCTCGCGCTCACCGTTCACAAGGCAAGGGCTGTGTATATCGGGATCCAAGCTCGCTGCTCTGTAGCTGATCACGTTTGGCTCCAACTTCGCCTCCGCAACCGTGTCACATGCCGTTTTCACTGATCCAGCCGTGGCGACGAGAGGTGACGGGGGGAACACGCTAGTGCTATTGGGCTCCAACTTTGCCTCCGCCAGTGTTGCCCTGATCGTAGTGCTGTAGCGGATCATGTGGGGCTCCAGTTTCGCCTCCGACGTCTTGCGCTCACTGTTCATAGAGCTATAGCTGGGCTCGTCAGGCTCCATCGCCTTTCCCTTCTCGCACGCCCTGATCGCTTCGATGTAGCTGGTCATATTGGGCTCTGTCTTCGCCTCCCGCTTCGCATCCCACGTCTCGTTCTCTGTCCTCGCCGTCGTCCTCTCGCACGCCCTGATCTCTGCACTGTAGCTGGTCGTATCGGGCTCGATCTTCGTCTCCCACTTCTCGCACTCAGGCTCCTGCAGCCACCCTTCGACGAATCCGTAGTCAAATGGCGAGGCTGGCCAGGAGGTGCTGAAGTCCAGCTCGACCAGGAGGAGGACAAGGACAGGGAGGAGGAGAAGGGGGGGGGGCATGGGGACAAGGAGCAGGAGAAGGGGGGGGAGGAGTGGGAAGGAGGATGAGTCTCCCCACTCGCGAAACGAACCAAAAAATCACAGGACCAGACCTCGGCCGATGAGGCGTAGCTTCAGTCGAGGGCCGCCCCTGATCCTTGGGCCAAGCTCCTGCCAGGAAGCGCTGAACGTACTTCTTGCGGCCGGAATCAATTCAGCGGGGAGGAACAAGGTTGGGCCAGAGAAGGCCAGGAGGAGAGGGGGAAGGAGGAGGCGAAGGAGGAGGAGGAGGAAGAGGAGGAGGAGGAGGAGACGAAGGAGGAGGAGGAGGAGGAGGAGGAGGTGGAGGAGGGAGAAGAGGAGGAGGAGGAGGAGGAGAAGGAGGAGGAGGAGGAGGAGGAGGAGGAGGAATGAATAAGCAGGTGAAGGACAGCGCCCAGAGGATCTCGCGGCCGAATTCCGCCACGCGGGCCGATCCCGTGACCGACTTAAAACGGCCAAGCCCTTTGGGCCCCTTGCAGTGGCGGCATATGCCAACTTGCCTCCAGGTTGCCCTGGGTTTCGATGGTTTTGCTGTGGAAAGCGCGACGCTCCCACACCAAAAATCAATGGACGTCCAGGGGTCTCAGGGTTGGGTTTCTAGTGGA